TCCTGGAAGAGCACTGAAATATTCCTCTCCCCCTCCATAATTTCTTGTAAACAAAAAACACTCAATCAAGACTTGCTTAAGGCTCAGAGGTACATTTAACACCCAACAGCATGAAGCAAAGGAACAATACAACTGTGCATTTGGCAGTGCACCACTGCAATAATTTCCAGGGTAAATGATCTGGCAATTTTAGCCACATGGATAATATCCAGGCCAAGGTGGCTAAATTCAGCCTGGCCTGCATCTGACTGAAGAAATCTGTCACATGTCCACAGACACAGAGATGCACAATACCCCTGACTCCACCCATGGCACATGCCAGCCTCCATCTTTTGGGTTATCAAGGCTAATTGCAAACCACCAAAAATACCCTGACATATTTGCATAGTGCTATCCCATGAGCTGTGATTTATTTTACTAAAAAAAACAAAACACAAAAAGACTTCAGGAAGGAAAACAAAGCCATAAAGTTGTCTAAGGCAATCAATCCAATTCTATTCATGTCTAGTCTTTCTTTGCACACTGGTCATTATGAACCTTGTCCCTTTCTGGGCACCCAGCAGGGATTTGTCAGCCTTGCTGTCACCTTGTGTATGAGCCAGGAGAAGGTGGGAACATGCAAAGAACATTATCCTCTTGGAAAGGCTGTGAGCTGAGTGATGTTATCTCTGTAATAGCTGCACCCATGGCAGAGCAGACCTTGCCTCCCAGATGTATCCCTGAGCAACCCCACTGCCAAAGGAGTCCCTCATATCCCTGCCCTTAGTTTGGGTTGACCCAAGAACTCTTGCCTCAGGCAGTACTTTTGGTCCTTGCACATGGAATTATTGTGAGCTCCCTGAGATAACACAAGGATGGTGGGACCCCAGACTCACTGGAAATGAGATTTAAGTTTGTCTCATGTGTTAAAAACATGGAAAATGCACCCCAAAAGAAGCACAATGTGCACATCCTGCTGCTCACTAGTGCCATGGTCCCACTACCCATCACCTACTAATTTAATAGGACATTATCAGCTTCCTGCTGCCTCCTTCAGTTCCCAGGGGAGTCCACCAGTGAGTCACAGGGCATTTCCAGAAAGTCTGTGGAAATCCTTTCTCACTGTATTTGTAATACCACAGGCTTTTAAGAGAATTTCTTCAAAGCCCTAATGCATTCCTTTACCTCCCAGAGCTTTGATAGTGTAGGTCTTCTCCACAAAGCCCAGCAGGCAAGGGTTGTGCTCCTGGCTCCTGAACCAGCAACCCTAGCTGTATTCTTCAATTCAAGTTTTAAACTTTTTTAATACACTTGTTATTTGCAGGGTATGACATGGGAATGGACCTGGCTGGTGGCAAAAGCTTGCATTTTTTCTTTGAAAAGGTCCATATTAACAGAGCAAAATAGTATTTTTTAATAGCTTAAAAAATATATTTTATAGTAAATACAAGGCAGTGGTCCAAGCCTTCCACAGTCAGTGAAATGAGACACTTTTGAAAGATGAATATGGTGCCATGACCCTGGCTCTCTCTCTGTACCCAGAGGAATAATTGTGAATGTGTCACATAATGTCTTTTAACAACTTTTATGTCTCATATAGTCCTGCATGGTATTGCCATATACATGTCTACAAACATAATACTATACTGTACACACACATGAAATTCACAAAGGCAGCCCAAACATTATTGGGTCATTTCCACATTCCTGTGCAGGACAGGAATTTCAGCACTCTCTTGGTGCAATCCACAACAGCCCATCCCATAACCTGTTTTTTGTTGGAAGCCTCCTAAAAATATCAGTCTGCATTTATGAAATCAGCTGCAGCCTGCTGCTTATGCCTTGGAGTGGAAGGAAAAGCTCAGCTTGCCCCAAGCACTACTTCACCTGGAGTTTGGGTGGTCTCAAGCCAAGACCATACAGAAAAGGCTCAGAAAAACACTCTGTTTAATGACATAAGTGGTGTTTTTCTTGAATCACAGGCAGTGGAAATTTCATCTCTGACTACCAGCAGTCTAGGCTGAACACACATCAAAAAGGACTGAGAAAATGTTCTGGGGGGAGAGACTGCAACTTGTCCACTCACATTCTGATTTTTTAGGACACTCCTGACGATGCCTGGCTGTTTGCTTTTCCACCAGGAAGCATGGGAAAGCAGAGAGCTCATGCGATTTGAGCACCTCCTGTGCTTCAGTTTTCTCCTTTCTCTTTGCTCTCCTCATCTCTTGGGGGTTTGATCCACAGAGATCTTTAGGAAGGTTTATTTTTTCTACCTACAGAAGTTTTACCCATTAATGAAAGACTTATCTAGTGAGTTGACATCATCATGTTTTCATAACCTACTATTCCCTGAATCACCCTGGTCCTCAGCAGGGAATTTTTTGGTTTGATGAAGCCAGTACTAAGATGAACATGCTACCCCGTGACAGTAAATTAGTCCCTATTTAAGGTTTGTGATTAAGTTTGGACAAGCATCAGAAGAGGGTTTTTAACTGTTTCAAATGCAGGGTGAGAATCACTTCCAAAGAGGTGGAAACACAAAAAGGCACCGTGTTCCTCATCGTGCATCCACACCATCCCATGTGTACAGACACCTCCCCTTGGATGGCTGCAGACAGTCCCTACCAGGGCATGTTTTAGGAACCTTGCAGGGCAGTATCTGCTCTAATGAAGAGCAACCAGACTTCTTCGCTTCCCTGAAAGATGCACTGTGTTATACCGCTTCAACACACTGGGTCTTCTCTGTGCAGACACACACAGTGCTGGCAAACCTGGCCAACAAACACTCTTGTTTCCAAGAAATGGGAGTTTACAGCTACCAGCGCAGAGCCATGCAAGAAAAAGAAAAAAAAACACCCTGAAGACAAACCCAAAAAGCAACAAGAGCACAGCCCCTCAGTGCCCTGCTACTTTCAGGCTCCAACAGTTCTGTTTAAAAGCAAAGTGCAAGCATACCCATCTCAATCCTCTCATTTTAAATGTGGTCAGAATTAGCAAACTGCCAGTATCCAAAGGTGCAGACCTTGCTGCTCTAAAGCTCGTAGAGCTGTGTGGCTCTGGGAAAGGACAGGAATCATAAAAAGCCTGAGCTGGGAGGCAGCTTTAATGCTCATGTTCAGGCCTCTAGTAAGTTGTCCCACAAAATGTAATGAGACCTCCTGCTTAGCCAGGGCTCTGATTTCCACAGTTTGTGCCTGCAGCACTCTTATATTTTATAAGCCATATTAACTCACCTCTTGCACTGGGAGGTTGGGGCAGTGGCACACTGTCTAATAATGGAACATATTTGTTAATACTAATAGACATTTGTAAAACTACCACATGCCCTCACAGCCTTCAAGTCAGAGCACAGGATTCTTGCTAGGCTTGTGAAATGTATGATGTAAAACTTGGGATGTTTTGGTTACAACATATCTCATTTATTTTTACTGTCATCACCCTCCCTGGTATATAATACCTGCTGCATGCAGAGTGAAATATTGCAGATGTTTTCAAAATAATTCTGGGCTGGTGGAGAAACCAAAAGGTCTCTTGTGCGTAAGGTCTGGTTATTTTCAATTCCAAACAAGTAGGTAACAAAGTTTCTGTGTGCTGGTATTTTAAAAGGCCTGGATTCCTCTGTGCTGACTCATACTTGCACTGCCCACCCAAAAACTCACCTCTGAGAACTTTGAGAGAGACTTCAGCCATTTTGATACCCTCAGGATTCAGGAATGAAGAGCGAAAAGATAAAACTAGTTTTAACTATTCATTAGTTTTTGGTACTTCAGATAATTTGTGCAATGGCTTCAGGGGTTTAATTGAATCACTTTTCCCACCTTGTCTTAATTTTAATTATGCAGCAATCATTTTTACCAACCTGTGCAAAGGAGCCATATGAAAATATGACATATGACAATACACATTTACCTAAGCTCTAGGACTACTGTGACCTACAGGCAATTAGCTACTGCCTCCAGCACTCAAACGACCAATTAAAGAGTTAACAAAATGCCCTCCAAATCACCTACATGTTCAGGTTTTTGGACTGCCATGAACATTATACTTCAACTGATATAATTTTTGACTGACTGATTTACTAAGTCTGCATTGGCTAAAATTCTTACAGCCATGCCTGTAAAACCGAAGAATCAGGTTTTATGAGGTGCTTTCATTGTCATTAAAGACTATCCCACCTTAGCCCTTTCCCTAACAAGACAATCTTGCAGCAGTCATTACAAAATGTGATCCCAGCTTGTCATCAGGGAAAAAATGGCTTGCTAGGTCAATGAGGACTGCACTAAGTTCATCTCAAGGATGTAAGACATCCCTCTGCATGGCTAGCAGCCAAGAACAAAAAAATTAAAGAGCCACAAAGGATTGGGGTTTTTTCGAGACTTGGCTCCCACAGTTTTACAGGTAGCCCATTCCAGAACTCCACAGAGACTGAATCAGTAGTAACAAACGGATGCCTTTGCATCTCTTCGTGATTTACAGTGTACCAGTGAGCACTTCACTGCAGACAACAGATCATCAACAGCCTGAAGTGCACAACACAAATGACCCCAAGACAGACAATTTCAAAGAAAAATGCATTCAGATGTGTGCTTGCATGGGAATAAGAGAGATCCAGGACACAGCTAATTATACCAGCTGAGGGAGAAGTGAAGGGTGGTAATCTGCCCAGGAAATGCTGAGTTCCAGCCCTGTCTCCAGCAATAACTCAAGCTGAGGTTTTGTATCTCCTTTCCTGCCTCCCTCAGCTGGCAGGGGGGTTTAACAACAACTCCCAACACACATCACACGTGGTACCACAAGGACTGAAATTCTGAGAGTGCTCTGAAAACAATAAATGGTCTGGGTGCCCACCAGTATCTCACATGTTGGGCAGCCTGGCATAACATAGAAAGGTTCTGCCTTCTGTGAGCAATGTGGTCTCATGGTGGTATCTCACAGGCAGAGGGGGGTTGCAAATCATGATTGCATGCAAGGGAAAAGTGACTCTGCAGAGAAAAATGCTGATCTGAGAGATTGGTACAGACCTGACACTTGCTTGCAGGTCCTCAGGTCAGCTGGTGCTGTTTCTCTGAGGCTGACTGACATCAGACTTCACACCTGGAGGATTCTTCTCTGAACTGAAACAGAAAGAGAAGAGTGTTACTGATTTTCCTTCTCTGGCCACAAAGACCCCAATTCTGCCCAGATTTACAGGTGGGGCACCACTGGCTTTGCAGAAAGCACTCTGAAAAGCCAGCCCAAAAGCCACCTCAATCCTTGAGATGCCACCAGAAACTGAAGGTAGAGCTAAACAATCCCAAATGGAATTTCTTTTCCACCTCCTGCACTTTGATTACTCAGACAAGGCACATGTTGGCCACAGAGACAGGCAGGGAGGTGAAGGGAACAGCACCGTGCAGAGAGATGAATCAGCCCAGTGACTTGGGGCTACTTGTCTCCTTTCCACCACCTGGGAAACCAGTGTCTGGCAGCAGCAACCTCAGTGCTCCTGTTTTCCAAGCCAGTGGCTTCAGGGAGTGTCACAGAGGTGACATTCTGGGCCTTCCAGGGGTTGGGGAAATCAATATTGGCAATGTGGAAGACACTTGATGACAGAGTCATAAAAATGGTGTTTTATCAGTGGAGAAGACAAGAGGGAAAAGAGGCAGTTGTAAATGGCCAGCTATAAAAAACGTACCAAAAAATTCAACCAACCACTACCAAAACCAAAAACTAAAGACAAAAACACCAAAAAAACCCCAATAATGGCAAAACAAACAAAAAAACTTGAAAACAAATCAAAACACCCAGCCAACACTCAAAACTCCCAACGCTTTGTTTGGCTGCATCTTCCACAAAGCCCGGTGAACGAGAGTGAAGAAAGAAACTGTTTGACACCCAGAGCTGCTTTGCTTTGAAAAATATGGAGACAAACTTAACAATGGGGAGTCGGGATTCCATAGGGTTGTTTACGTATGGAATACAGGCAAATGCAGACCACTATGTGGAAGTGTGTCTGTGTGTGTAAGGCAGCATTAACACCAATTCCTACACCCTTATAAAATGATATATTAAAAAGAAAGAGAGGAAGAAAGGACAAGCAAGCTAGATTTTTTTCCCCCCTCTTTTTACAAATATGATGCAGTTTACAGAAGCATGGTCCTTTTTTTAGGAAGAATTCTAAATGCATCATTCAAATATTGTTTGAGCTGAATACATGATATACATATCATGAATACATATAATCACAGCACGGTCTTTTGTGGGAGCTCTGAAAATAGCAGTGGAAAAAGCTGACCATGAGTTTCCATCTAAGGATTTGCATTTGGTTAACATGTGTGAACCAACTCCATTCATCCCATCCTCAATGGGAACTCTCCTGCTGCTCCAAAGGGCCAAAATGAAGAGTTGGGCCTGGACAGCAGGAATCATTCTGTGGGGCTGATGTCAAGGACAGCACCTACCAGGTGAAAATATGGGAAGAAATTGGGGAACTCTATTCTGCTGAAAAACACTTATGGGTTATGTATGCAGCTACAGTATTGCAAACTATGTGGCAAGTTAAGTTGTAAGTTTCCTGCTGATTTTCCTAACCTTTTTCCACCAGTTCCCCCATGGCAGAAAAGCTGAAGTTCACTGAGGAGGCTCCAACTTCCTCCTCTCCATCTCCACTCTTGCACGATGTAGCTTAGTTTCTCTCACTTCTCCCACTGCAGAGTGCTGGGGAAAAACAAAAAAAGAGATGAATCAGAGGAAAAAGGGCAATTAGGTGGGCAGCTTCAGGATCTCCACAGCCCCTCTCTGCTCAGATGGGAAGAGGGAAGGTGTGTGCTGAGGGTGTCCGGAGGTCAGAGGGGACATCCCTGCCCCCTGCCAAATCTGTGGGAGCAGGGGAAGCTGGAGGATGCAGGAAGGGTGGCAGGGAGGGCTGAGTGCTCTAAGTAGCATGTTTCCTAGGAAACCTTCGACAGCAAATATCACATTAGTCCTGCCTTGTGGCCCAGCTCATGTGATGTCAAGAACAATTTCTCACAACTCAGCTCAGAAGGTTAGCAAGACTTGGTGAAATGTTCAGTGACTCTGGCCTGGCTTCCCAGCTGGGAACAAAACAAGAGACTGAGAGTGTTTGCATTGTTTTGGAGTTTTGTGACAAATTCCTAACCAAACATTTTATTATTTTTATTCAAACCTTATGGTGTGTTTTCCTCACAGGTTTGCAGTCTCACCCAGTTGCTGTGTTTGTTCGCAAGAAACTTCATTTAGCAAAAGAAAGAAAAGAGAAATGGAAAAACCAGCAAGCTCATGGAAAGCCTTGGAACACTTAGATCAACGTTCAGCTTGTGCACTGATTATAAAAGCTCCGTCATAGACTTCTGGCATTACAAAACTTCATTTACAACTATCCTTTCTAATTTCTGTCAGCTGCAGCCCGAAAATATCCATAGTCTAGCAGATTTAACAAAAAAAAGGCATAAGATCTGGCAGCTAAACTCAGATATGAGATGCATTCCAGCATCTGAGGGGGCTCCCAGCAGCACCTCGGGCTGGGACCCAACACCTTGGGCTGGCTCTGAGGGCAGAGATGCAGAGTTTTGGCTCTCCAAGCTGCACAACACCCTGAGGCTGAGTATTTGGGGGCTCTGTGGTACCACAGACCTCCCCACAACATACCTGTCATGCACAGTGCATGTCTCTCTTTCCTGATTTCCTGCAAACCAGCCCAACTGGAAGGCGACTGTGGTGCACTGTAGAGTCCCACATTGCTGCCATCCCTGCTGTCTCCGCATTTGTGGCTTCAGCGGCATCAGGCTTCTAAGTTCTGAAGAGAAAAGGTACTAAAACTGAAAAAAAATCTTCCTCTGGTGACACACTTCATCTCATACTTAGTGAAATATAAAGACCTCTTTAATATAAAGTAATATATTTAAACAAATTAAAAATAGCCCCACTAATTTCTTTTTAATCATAAGCTAACTTAGGTGTTTGACCTCTTTATTTCCTTTTGCTGCTTCTCATCTTCAGTGATTTGAGCCCTCACATCTAGAGGGGTTTTTTTTCCATTTTTTTTCCTTTCCAGGGAAATAAGCAATGAATACAAAAAGAACAAGGTTGCTTGAGGTACCTGAGAAACACCAGCACTGAAATAGGCCCATCACTCCCTTTCATCCCATTTTAGGTACAGGAGGCCTGATGGATCAGCTATTCCTCCAGGAAAGCCAGGATTAAGGGGGTCAGGTCAGCAGTGTGAGAACTCCTTTAACAGCAGTGTGGGAACACAGGGCTCCCTTTTTAACACATTAATGTTCTGAACTTGAAGCTCATCTTAACAAGATGGAGACAGTGGAGTCCTCCCCCATAAGCCCAAACCTGTGCCCTCAGAGCTGCCTGATCCACCAAGTGACAAATCTCCTGGAAATCTCATAAACCAGGGCAAAAGCAACTGTAGGATTTACTGACCACAGCAAAGGTTCCTCTGAAGATCCAAAAGCAGATGTTTAAGCAAGACAGCAAAGGCTGAGGTTACAGCAGGTGAAAACACATCGGAGGCCCCTTGTCCCGTGAGCTGCTCTGCCCACGGACAGCCCTCATGCTGGGACATGGCACCTGCCTGTCCCTAAACCCCTCATCCCACAGCCCTGACATGCCACCTGCCTCATCCCACAGCCCCAAATGCTGTCTGGCCCCTGTTTATTTGTGCTTCCCTCTTCTTTCAGCCATTCTCCCCTGCCCCGAGGGTTTCCGCCCTTGCCTCAAGATGGTGACCCCTCCGTGAGGGCAGGCCCGCGCCGCCCGCCCCAGGGAAAGGGGGCCGAGAAACAGCCATTTACTAAATTATACAAAATATCTACCCAATAATAACACTATTAACAACATAATTGAAATTTTAAAAGCTGTTTCCCCTCACTATCAAACCTGGTGCTCTGATCTTTCCCAGCTGACAAAACCACGCTGCTTTTTCTCCCTACACGGTCTCCTGCCCTCACACACACACCTGTCGTATCACCCAAATGTGTCAATGTTTGGGGGTTTACGTTAATTCTGTCCCAAAGCAGTAACATCTTAAAACACTTTCAGCAATGCTTCTTGTACATTAAGGACCTGAACAAAGCAAGATTTAAACCCTGATCATGCATAAATAACCATATCACCATTACCTGAGACACCTGGAAAAACATTCCTGCTTTCCTCCCAGTTCCCAGCCACGGAAAGCAACACCTCACCCATGGGAGGTGCAGATGGAACCTTTGGGGTCCCTACCATGTTGTCACCTGCTAAAGACCAGGATGGGAATGCAAAGAGCTCAATTAACACCAACACAGACCAAAATAATATCTCAGTAACTTATAGATAAATGATTCGGAAAGAAATATGTTCTTATCACAAGGAAAGATCTATAACTCACTCTTAGCCCTTCATCACCAGGAGGAAATATACTGCGACTTGCACCAATCCATTATCTGTTCTTATTTTCCTCCGTACAGGTATTTATCTCTCTGGCTCACTCTTCATCAACGCAGCCACCCGTGATCGCCCAAGCCACCCTCCCACTCGGGTGGGAGTCTCTGCTCCTCTCTGACCAGCCAGAATAAAGGGACACCTTGTTTTCACATCCTCCACCACTTCTCTCCCTGTCTATAGCTGGAACCCTGTCCTCACACAATGTCATTTTGGTGTCATGGGACACTGGGTGGTTAAAATCCACTGGCATCAGTCTCAGCACTGTAAATCTCAACAGAGGGGCTGGAGCTGAGCTTTCCCCAAGCCTGTACATGTCCCAGCCCAAGGTTTTAGGTCAGGCATATTTTGAATTCCAGCTTGTTAGAGTTACTGGCTCATGCACCCGTCTCCCCTTCAGCTCCCAGAGAGGATCTAGGGCTGCTTCCAGCCCTTGCCTCAATGGTTTCCTATCTAATATCGGGATTAAGACTTGCAGGTACGTTTCTCCACAAGGGCAGTAACCCATTCACTCTGCATTTCTTTCCCAGAAGTGCTGAGATCCCTCCATGCATACATACATGTGCCTGGTGAAATGCAAATCTCTGGGATTTTGTAGTAAGATCAAATGTCAGCATTGATAGGCACTCAATCATTCATGGAAAAAGATACATGGACTTCATCCTGCATGAGTGTGAAAGCTACATTTTTTTCCAAAGCACTTTACATGCTGCAGCCAGCAACTGGCTGCCCAGCTTGGGACATATGTGTCCTTTGCAGAAGATTCCTCTATTACATCAGCCTGCAAGAAAGCCTCCAGGTGGGAAGGTGTCTGATTTTTAGTTTGGCACTGGAATAGTACTACTAATAATAAAAAGAGAAAGCCTTTTCTGCTATAGCCTAGAAAGAGTTTGCCAAAATTCAGGGGTTTGAATAAAAATAGCTGCATGTCCACATTGTTTAGTTTCTCTTGGAAACTTTAAAAAATGTAAAATATTTTTGATAGCTTTACCCTGCACTGCCCAGCCACATTAAGCCACAGTAAACTACATTCTTATGGTTGTCATAACATTTTGCCCTGTGTTGCTTGTGAAGTGAATAATCTATTAAGATACACAAGGTGCAAAGTGCTGCCTTCCTGTCTTCGAGTTCCTGCAATCTCCTGTAACAATTCCATGCAATTCCTGCTGGAGTGGTGCAGGAAGAACTCTCTGCCACTGCTAGAGCCACCAGAGGGTCCAGGATTGCAACTCTGGATGGGCTTGGCCCCGACTATTGGGGCTGTGGGGATCAGCCTTCCTCCCGCTGCGCTCCCCCTCCTCCTCCCCATCCCAGCCTGTCATCAATCTCACTACAATGACAGCAGACAAATGTTAGCCTTTGCAAAGATCAGATGAAATCTATGGCTTTAGGGCTGCTCACCAAGGAGCGGGGCAGGCTGCACCAGACACGGGCACCAGCAGTCACCTCCTCTGCATCAACCCGCTCAAATCACTTTGGCAGCCATCACAGGCATCTTCCACGGGCAATCCCAGTGCTCAGATAGATTCTGACAAACTTTAATGCTTCAGCCTCTCCACACAGTCGGGGTTTTGGTAGTTTTTTATAGCAAGATCGCTCATTCAAAACTTTTTTTGGGGGGGAGGCTTTTGAGGTGTGTTTGGGGCAATGCTGGAAGCCACTCCACCAGCAGCTCAGGAGTGCACAGAACTGGGGTTTATTTTGGGTTAGTACACTTGTCCCTCACATGCTCTGTAACCTGAATTCTGCTAGCCAAGGGGAAGGGAGGGGGAAAAAAAGGAAAAAAAAAAGATTACTGCATGGCATAAATATGCTGTATGTGCCCTTGTCTCCTGCAATTTCTTTACATCGATGTGCAGGAATATTTATCCCCAGTAGAAATGTTTAACTAATCTGGTAAATGTCAAGCCATATGGTGTACATTGTAAGGATTTCATCAGGCCTTTTTAACTCTTTGTGAAAGTCTCTCCCTCTCTTTCCCTCCGCTTACTTCCTCCCTCATTTTTTTCCTTTTTTTTTTTTTTTTTTTTTTTTTTCCTTTGTGGCTGCCCTGCCAGAGCCTATGAGGCAGGAGATAGAGCAGGGAGTGTTATTACCCACAGTCAGATCAGGGATGTGATGTTCATGGTGTACAATAACAAGCAGTATTAACCAGAAGTGCAGCTCACGAGGCACCTTTTCGCTGGGCACTGAATGTAATTTTTATCAGCAGTGACCTGCAGAAGAAGATCACTAATACTTTTTTTTTTAAACAAACTGTCCACTCCAACAATGCACAAAATTCCCAGGGGCTACCTCATCTCTTATCGCTTCCTTTGAATAATCAAGTCCTTACAACAAATAAACTGCAGTTTTGCAGCACTTTCAAGTAAGGAAGCATTTCTGCACTGTAACTATCTGGTGTATCTCCCACAAAGATAGAGTGCAATTTACAATAAGCAATATCAAAAAAGAATAAACCGTTATATTCGTGCCAATCCTTATTCATGGTTTTATAACAAGACATATCTGTTTTCTTCCTATAAATCTTGACTCTGTTTTTAGAGTTTGCAAATAATGACTCCAGTCTTTGGCTGCCTGCCACTTCTGTGAAAAACTAGAATAGCCACAGTGCAAGACTATAATATTAAGGGGAAAAAAAAAAAAAAAAAGAAAAAGGAAAAGGGAAAAACAAAAAGAGAGGGATTCTTGCTGAACTCTGTGTATTTCCTACCAGGACAGACCTGTTCAAGATTGTGATAAGTGATGCAAATGCGCAGAATGTGTCAGGGAAAAGCAGGAACAGCATGGAACTTCGGCTAAACTTCAACACCTATTTATGAATTCTTTTGCCTAAATCAAGTTTCTTGTACCTGCAGGGGCCCTTTGCTGCATCACAGGCAGATGCTCACACCCAGCAAGGCACCAGCCAGCCCGGGCTGCTCTGCTGGGCACCACTGCTGCCTTCCCCTCTCACCCACCAAACTTGCTTTTAGCATCTCTGATGGGCACAGCCTCTGAGGCAGGGGATTGCAGAGCACTTCTTGCTATGCTTCAGCTCAGAAATAAAAAATAAAACCAAAAAACCCCAGCAGGAGAAGCTGCCACCTTCAGCCGAGGCCTCCGGACATTTTAGAGCCTCGGCAGGCTAGGGAGGGGGAGCTGCAGGTCAAGGAAAGGATAAGATCTGGGTGGCTGGGAATGGGGAGGGAGAAAGAGGAATGTAATGAAGGAGGTAGAGAGGGAAAAGCAGGGAAATGACAGCATTCAGATAAATTTAGCTCTGAATCCAAACTTCAGGGGGAGGGGAGGCGTTTCCTGCCCCAAACCTCTGAACTCTCTGAGATTCTCCCATATCGCGAGTGATTTACCTGTAAAAAGAAC